CCACCCACCGGCTTAGGTATTGTTAGGTTGTTAGGTATTGTTGCAATATAACGATGAACGTGGTCAATTTCTCTGCCGTTTTGGCCTTGGCCCCCACCCTCCCCCCGGGGAAATTTACTTTAAACCCCTCTCCATTTCGCTTACGCCTCTGGTAATAATCAGACACAAATCCTCTCTCCCCTCTAATATGTGCTCTCTCACCCCGTGGTGCCCTTATAAAACTCAACGTTTAACCTACTCACGTCGGCTTGTGCCCGCCCTCACAGTCGGGCATATTTTCGGAATACACCACGCCGCCGTTGACCCTGGTCATTGACCCAGCAACCCAACGTTCCTACCAGCTCCCTCCGCAGGACAATGTGTTTGCGGTTCATTTGTGGCAAGCACTTTGTGTGTAATGAGTGCGACTTTACAATGCTGTATTCGTTCAGCAATCGGAAGCCAATGCAGCCGATGCGCACGAGACGGACGCGGCGGTCTCCGTCACGGCGCGTGCCAGAGAATTGATCTCAGCCAACGGGCTGTTTCCCATCATTGATCCTCAACACCTGCTTAATCACATCCTCTTACTCAAGTGCAACCACCTGTGCAATTGCCTCGCTGTCCTCAATTGTACAATCTCTGCATTGTTTCTCTCAGCAGTGCTCGGGCCACCCGCTAATAATATTAGCCAGTGGCAGTCACAGTCACCGTGGGGTCTGCCGAACTCGCGTATTCGCCCAGAGCCTCATTGTCAATGGTCCCTCGAAGGCACTCGCTGCACGTGGCCGGGCGGTGTCACGGCGCAGTGCTGTTTACGTCTCCGCGTCATTTCCTTCACGAGTAATTGTGTTACATCACTTAGTTTTGCTTCCATGCTATTTTTTTGTTTTAATTTTGCTCGCTTGCTGAACCCTGTTAAAGTAATTTTACCCGAACTTTCAGATGTCATAAAAGGTTGTGTAACTGTCTTATTCTTCTTGTGTCTGACCATTGGTCGTGAAAGCCCTACGTGTTATACGAACAGGTTTTAATGAACATACTAATCGTTTTCTATTAGAAAGCATTGGCTATCAAGCAAATAATGAAAATGTCATACAAATTATAATTATACAGTATTTACGTTAAAATTATAAGCATAAAATTTGAATGCGTAACTGCGTAACGGGAGAAGTGTAACCAGTAAAATGTCCTTTGTTGCTTATGTAATGTTTCGTGTGTTTTTTATGAGCTGCACTTAGTCATTATTGAAAATTAGATAATGTTTAACAGTAAGTAAAACTAGGTATATCGTACTTAAATTGGTGCGTACACATTATAGTACACATTATAGTACACATTATTGTACTGCAAACCCGTACCCAGTGCTACTGGCCTGTTTACAGGTGTTACTTAAATGTATGATTTGCCAGAGGGTGGTGTCGCAGGGAGGGCTCGTTCATAGCCAGGCTCTGGCTCCTTGCCACGTTCATGAGACTTCGCCGGCGCATTGGTGCCTCTCAAACCCACGCAAACATGCATCGAGACGGACCAGCGTGAGTGTGCGTCGTCTCAGTTCGGGGACCTATGAGGGTGTGCACCGCATCCATCCAAAGGATTTCCTTGTTCTTGATGCCATCAACTTCGAGGGTGAGAATGTGTAAACAGCTCGAGGCGCTCTGCATGAGAGCAGCTGCCACTCATTCACTCAAGTTTTAAGTCCCGCAGAGCAAATGTTGTAGCTATCACTCACTGGGCGCTGTGCAAGAATTTGTTAAAGGCAACAACGCTCACGGCCAAAACCGGTGACGATTATCTGATGCAACCGTGGGCCTCCCCTGGGTCGACTCGGCCTCAAATGAGTACCTGGTGCGGTGTGTAAACATCGCCACTGAGGAGACAAAGGTGGCCGGGCGTGGTGCTGGCCACCCACCCCACGTGTGCCGTGTTGGCCTTCATAGGTTCTCGCTAACAGCACTTGTCCCAACAGTCCGTTCAGGCTATACGGGGAATCTTTGTCTTTGGGGTCAGACTGAAGGAGGCTGACATACCCCACACGACCCACCCCCACTGTTAAACAAGAGCGCGCTACAGTGTTGGTGAAATGGTGAAAGGACAATCTCTTACAACATCACGGATTTTAAAATAACTTATTTGTTTTTATAACCTCGGATCCAAAAGTGTTTCTGTCCTCTTAGCTCACAAGGAGCAATGCTCGTGTTGTCTCTTCATTCAGTATATTTCTATACGTATCGCCTTTTTACACCTCATTGTTTTGAGACTGACCTGGTGTAATATATATATTTCAAGATAAGGATTAATTTGTGTATTCTTCTTTTAAATGACATTGAGGTTGCACTGCTGCTTCCATAAATGTAAAATCGGTATAAATAATTACCCGAAATGGTATATACACAGTATATGTACTAAGTGCTTATAGTTCTTATAACCTGTTTTCCCTGCATACATGCAGTTGTTATTTCTGCACAGGTTGGAGCTCCATTTCAGGTGTCTTTTTCAAATTGGCTGAAGCAAATGAAATCAGTTAATTCATCAGCACGTGAACATTCCAACGAATGCAGTCTGCGAAGTAACGATTTAAAAGAATCAATTATAAATAATAATATACATCTCTTTGGCAATCCACTGCTGGATAAGTGAGTCATAGGGACGTAGGGGTTGTTTTGGATTAGAGGTGGGCACTCAGAACTGGTTCAATTATAATCACCACAGCTGTTGATGGATGGGAATTAAACTCATGTCTCCAGATTCGTAGCGCAGTGCACTAACCACTGAGCCACAGCCCCTCTACCCAATCTTTGGAACAGGCAAATAAAAATGATGAAAAACCCAACACACTCGTCAACGACACCTGCCGTGAAATAGTTGATTGTGCTTGTGCACCGCGGCCAAATATTTGTTTTTTTTTTAATCATGTAGTCGTGGCATTGACATTTGGAACCGCCACATTTGTTTTGTATCACCTCTTATATCTGAATGGTACAACAGATGACCAGGCGGCAGTAATCCGACTTCCTTTCCACACATCTCATGTGTGCATAGTGCCCTCTAAAGGAAATCAAACTTTCTCTGCAACGCCAAAACTAACACGGTTGCTTTTGGCTCATTTGGTGAGAACTCAGTGAGTGTTCGTTTTTTAATCGCCAGTGGTTTTTCCCACAATTTGTAAATTGCACATTAATGTTTTTTTCTGTGGCTGTTTTGTAATTTAATGAAAACACACTCTTAACGTTTTATGGACATTACCTTTTAAATTAAATTACTTATGAGCCATATTTTCTCATCAGACAAAGTTAGAAATTTGACAAAATTACGATTTAGAAAGCGTTTGTATCTGTAATAAATGCAGAGTAATTCCCTATTGTTACTGAAAATCACAGGCAAATATTAAGCAATGTGAGTGCTACCACACGCTAAAATGTTTTAAAGATTTACGAGGGCTTAAATTAAAGATGTTGAAAATGTTTAAGATATTTTAAACACGTAAACTTTATTAGACAAATATTTGTTTGGAAAGTTTCGTGCATCCTTAATTGCTTTTAACCTCTTCAAATAGTGGCTATTCACACACAGCCAAATCAAACACCAATTGATAGAAATTATACAACACTTTCAATGCTACAATTTAGTTCTCTTAGTGATTAAATATTTAAAATCTGCCATTAGAATTACCTCTTTTCAACACATTATGATTTCTAAATAATATCTCGACAGTTTCAAGTGCACTTAAAAAATGCGCGATTTTAAATGTGCTATCTCGTTATGCACAGTGTGTTCCTAAAATAAAAACGTATGTCACCCACATTGTAAGTAGTTGATGGGTAGGAGTTCCACTCCGCTCTTCTCAAAAGAGTTATGCGACAATGGTAAAGCATAGTTGTAATGTTTACGTTCAAATAATGGTCGCTCGGCTCATCGGTAGTCGACGCGAATTTCATAATCGTTTAAAGATTAGACATCGCACCTTGAGCATACATCCCCACGCTCGTTGTTACAAGGGTGGTGGATGTGTGGCGGGCACTGGAACACGTGATCCGGTGTCGCTCGCGACCCATGCTAGCCACGACCGGGAATCTAGCTCAGGGGTCTAACTCTGTAGTCGCGTGCTAACTAACCACCGCGCGCGCCACCGCTGAACTCCACTCCATCACGATGCCGTTGCCGCGACATCAACACTGTGACGCTGCAGCACAGAGCGGGCATGCACAGGCAACCCAACTGCACACAGCCCACGGCGTGGAGGAGCACTGGCGATCTGTCACTCCACCTCAACGTGGTCAGCTCAAAGTGGCGGCGGCTGACAAGGCAGCAGCGAACTCGGCTCGAGTGGCGCCAGCTCACTCGACGCGGCTTGGTAGCAGGAGGCTTTAATCCATCACCACTGGTTGTGATGATGTTTCTAACTCGCAATGTGAATCGTGCATGAGCAACTTTACATTCTGAGCAATGGTCCTTATAAGTTCTGAGCAAAGCCATTCTACAAGCAATAGTCCGCTCTGTGTCTCCGTATCAAATTCTACACACTTTAGATTTGTTTACGTGTCTTACACAGCAGCTGTAGTACAGTTATACGATATATAAGCAGAACTTCGCTCTGTCTCCACACAAAGACAACATGTTGTAAGTCCATCGGCCTATTGATTTTCCAGGATTTAAATTATCCATCAGCATTTGTCTAAGGAAGTGAACTCTTGACCTGTTACTCTTTTTCTGGGTCTCATCAACAGAGCCGAACTTGTTAAAACAAATGCCGATGTGGTGGTAAGAGTGAGGGCGCACATGACAACATCGGTGATGGAGCAATGATGCAGGATGCGCTCACTCAGACACTCACCCACCCACTCACTCGCCCACACACTCACACATTCACCCAACCACACACCCAACCACCCAACCACTCACCAACCACTCACCCAACCACTCACCCACTCACTCACCCACCCACACACTCACTCACTCAACCACTCATCCACTCACCCAACCACACACCCACTCACCCAACCACTCACTCACCCACCCACCTACGTTCCGCAGCTTCCTATTGCGCAACACTGACACGATCACCAACAGGCTCCCACAGATGTCCACCACGATGGTGGAGATGAGCACAGACGCCAAGAGAGGTCCCAGCCACGGCGGCCGCTCCACCCCCTCCTCCTCCACCTCGCCACCACCGCCGTGGCCACTCGCTGCAGGGGGCAGCATCGTGTGCGCTGCCCCGACAGGCGGCGTCCAGCACGCGGGTCTGTGCGCTCATTGTCCAGTCGCGGAGTAGGCGGGAGGCAGCGGCAGCAGCGGCAGCGAGGTTAAGTGTCTACCGCACGCTCCCGCTGTTGCTGCTGCTGCTGGTTGCCCCTTTGCTGCCGGCGGAGGTGGCCGGTGCGGTGGAGCGGAGGAGGAATGCGAGCAGAGGGCGGCGGCGCTGGCAGCGAGACGCGTCCCGAGAGTTGCCGGCGGAGCTGAGAGGTGCGCGTCTCGTGCCCAGGCGGCGTCTCTCTCGCCGCTGTGCATGCGACGCCGTCGCTATGAACGAGTCGGGTGCCATGTGCGTGTGATGAGCGGGGGGCGGGATGGAGGAGGAGGAGTGGATGGAGGGGAAGGTAGAGGCGCTGCGGCCGAGGCTCTGCGATGTTGGTGGTGGTGGTGGGGGTCGAGGGAGCCGCGGGGGGGATGAGTTCGAGGGAAAAGGGGGGAGGTGCTGGGCGAGTTACGGTAAGTCTCTTGTGCAGGAGGTTTAACTCCTCCGTGCATGTTGCTTAACGCAGCACTCGCTTTGCGTGCCCGTCGTTTTACAAGTATCTGTGAGTGGGTGGGAGCGGTGGTGCAGTTAGCGATACGCTGCGCTACGAACCCCGACAGCCGAGTTCGATTCCCGCTCACCGCCAACACCAGGGACAATTATCTGAACCGGTTCTGCGCCTCTTGTAGGTCGACTCAGCCTCAAATGAGTACCTGGTGTGATGTGAAAACATCGCCACTAAGGAGACAAAGGCGGCCGGGCGTCGTGCTGGCCACCCACCCACCCCTCGTGTGGCGTGCAGACATTCTTCGATGTTCGCTAAGCAGCACTTGCTCCAACAGTCTGTTAGAGCTGAGCGGGGTGCAGGGTCTCTATACACACACACACACGTCAAGAGAGGCGATGCGTGTCGTCATGACGATATGCAGTGTGTGGATGGAGCTGCGGCACGGGTTAATGCGCTTCGCTACGACTCGGGCCACCTGAGCTGGATTCCCGGCCATGGTGAACATCAGTGGCGAGTGATGTGAACCCATCACGAGAACTCCTCGCAGCAGCAGCAGCAGCAGTGGCGGCTTTTGTCCCCCCACCGAACAGAGACGGTGGCCACCGCGTCGCGATGCGCTTTCAGATGCGCTTCTGCGGCCGTCTGGAACGCTCTTCCTGCCGATATTAGGAAGCCACTGGAGCTTTGCACTTTTAAATCATCGTCTAGATTGAAAACTCATTTGTTTAGAATTGCTTTTTGTCTTTAGTCTATTGTCCTTCCCCTGCACGTCCGATTAGCACGGTTAGCTACATGCGAAAGAATTTCAACATATACACATATCTGAGCCGCTCCTGTAACCCGCTCCCTGCTGACCATCAGGAGTCTTTTCTACGTAGGCTCTCACGACCGGCATGACGATTCGTCATCGGTTTATTTTGTGATAGATCGTATAAAGATTATTCTGGTAAACCCTCCTCCAGCCGACACTTTACCGAAAGAACCAAGAATATGAATCCCTGCAGTCACGAAAGCTTTAAATCAAAACAAATACACAATTAGTATTTCACCAGGTAAGGCCACACTGAACAATACAGCTCTTTATCACAAGTGGCCTGGCCACAAATGATAGCTCAACGAAGTGGCTTATCACATGGAAATGTATAGCAGCCAAACGCTCTCAATATAGAGGACACATCGGGAGGAGCCGGAGAAAAATCCACGCGACCACCGAGAGACTCATACGGATTACAATATGCAGCAGGTGTCGGGGTCGAACCCACGACCTCCTGCATATCAGGCGAGGGCGTTAACATCTCGCCACCGCGGCGCCCTGGCATGTGTCACGTGATTCACACGTGACAATAATCTTACGGCTTCAGCACTCCCGGTGTTGTTGTTTGAGAGTCGTCCCACAACGTTGTTAACAGCCGCACATAACACATTCCTGCGGAGGGAGCTGGTAGGGACGTTGGGTTGCTCGGTCAATGGGCAGGGTCAACGGCGGCGTGGTGTATTCTGCAAATATGCCCGACTGTGAGGGCGGGCACAAGCCGGCATGAGTAGGTTAAACGTTGAGTTTTATAAGGGCACCACGGGGTGACCAGCCCCTCCCCAGCCAGCCCCACCCCTCCCACCCCCCACCCAGCCCCACCCTCCCCACCCAGCCCCTCCCCACCCAGCCCCTGCTCACCCTCCCCTCCCCACCCAGCCCCACCCTCCCCACCCAGCCCCTTCCTGCACGACGGACGGACACAATAATCCCCTGTGGGCTGGTGTAACCAGGAGGTTCCTACCAGTATCACTCGACACCTGATTACCTGTTAACAACATGATGATGCTGAATATACTCTTCAGCGAAACGTCGTGACGCGTTTAAATGTTGTGAGATGACTCTCCAACCACACTGAGCGGAGAGGTCTCTATGCAGTCGTGGATTGACAAAGGGCTGTGAAGCGATTTGTTGCAGTCAAATTCAGGAACCCTTGAAATGGTGTGATCTATTTTTACTTCCTTGACATTGCTCCGAATTAATAAGAAAAAGCCCGTGAGTTTTGTTACAAAAATAATCGTGAACAAAACTAACATCAAACCTTTTCGCTGACGTGGGTCCCAGTTAACCTTCTTCTATTTTACTTTGTGTGGGTCATATTTTGTTCAAAGAACATAAAAATAGAACCAATTATTCACAATAGCGAATATGCACTACAATTTGAACCAAAACTTTAACAATGTTTAACGAGGATATTTAATAAATTGAGCACGTTATTTTTTACAACCTTTATTTAAAATCGCTTTTTTCCAGCCGTTAAAAAACACAAAAATAGCCATTTTCTTTTAACAATATTTTCCAAGGTTGCTGAGCATGGTGACTGCCTTTTGTCATGAATTCATTATCATTATGCCACCGACATCCATAAAGTGCTTTTCCTTCAATCCTACATACAGTTTTTTTCACCCCTGCCTCATTCACGTTAGCAATACATTCCGAGCGCATTCTTTCAAATGTCTTCTTTCCCTTGATCTTCTCTTATGATTTTTTTGGCAGATCCCTCAGTGATACGCTCCGTCTCCAGATTTCATTAATATTCTTAACGTGTCTCTCAGCCATGGATTTGGGCAATAAATGAGGGCAACACCGGCAGGTAGCCTTGCTCCCTTCCCTCAACATTCCTTGGCCTCCCACGTCTTACTCCCGAGCCTCTCGCCCATGGCTACCCTCTCTCGCCCATGGCTACCCTCTCTCGCCCATGGCTACCCTCTCTCGCCCATGGCTACCCTCTCTCGCCCATGGCTACCCTCTCTCGCCCATGGCTACCCTCTCTCGCCCATGGCTACCCTCTCTCGCCCATGGCTACCCTCTCTCGCCCATGGCTACCCTCTCTCGCCCATGGCTACCCTCTCTCGCCCATGGCTACCCTCTCTCGCCCATGGCTACCCTCTCTCGCCCATGGCTACCCTCTCTCGCCCATGGCTACCCTCTCTCGCCCATGGCTACCCTCTCTCGCCCATGGCTACCCTCTCTCGCCCATGGCTACCCTCTCTCGCCCATGGCTACCCTCTCTCGCCCAACTCTCTGCCCTCTCCCATATGAATCTCTCTCTCTTCTCCTACCTGAACGTGCTACCCTCTCTTAGTCAAACCAACCCCCTCTCGTCGGACTCACTGTCGTCTCTCGCTGTCCTCATGAACACCTTCTGCAGAATGTTCCCCGCATTTATCGAAGTTTGTATGGTCATGATAATGATGATATTTGTTTGGACTGTTTCTGAACACTCATTGTGTTGCTTTTTCATTCTCTTTCCACAATGCATCACCGATGCTATTTTTTCATTTATTATCTTGTATTATTATGTAACCAGTATTTTACAATTCTCGAAAGGGCATACATTCATGTTGTACTTGCATTTATGTTTACGTAAAAATTAACTCAAGGCTCCATAAGATATTCCTGAATGAGTGTTCACGGAGGGGATTCTGGCAATGCCAGAGCTCATTGCGAATATGGAACCTACATCAGCCATACCAACTTTTGCGGTAATTGCGATAAGTGGAAATAAAAGCTTTTTTCACATGATAAAGCTTTAGCTCTATTTCATTAGCCAAGCACATTGTTCCACAACACTATCACTCTTGGTACGTGCTACCAGAATGAGAAAAAGTACCATCGTATGACACTCTTTGATACTTGTTTCAACATGTATTGCAGGGAAACTGGTTGCCTTTATTTTGCCTGCCCGTTTTCGCAGCCGTACTCATTCTATTAAGTTGTAGAGCTCGCCCTGTGCACAATGACGCAACAGGAATGTTTCGGCACCGTTCGTATGTCACATTTAGGATATATATTATGAGTGCAAATACGCAAAACGCTCAACATGTAAAACCGCATCGACATTACTGAGAGGAAACTTTGTCTGGCCGGGAGCCATGTGAATCTTTAACACCGGGAATATTTTATTAGAGGCTTTTCAAGGTTTGCTTTCAAGAAATGTAAAAACAAAGCAAGCAGAGGAACTGTTCTAACCTGCCTTACAATGGATGGATATTTAATGTAAAACTGTTGTTGCAAACACATTTACACGGTACGGAACACGGAGGCTTCATACAATTTCCAAAGCTATTTCTCAAAACCTTGACACACCACAACACTTTTACCCACCGATGCAGCATTGATCGAATAACCACAGGGCAAACCGCACGCAGCTTCTTGTCAATATGATCATTTTAAATGACTAACCTTGCTTACTGATGTGTCACTACATTAAAGCACGGATCATTTAAAATTACTAACCCAGGTTGCTCGCACCTTTTCAGACTGTGATTGATAACTGGCCTGGACGGTAGTGCCATCTTATTCACTTGCACACTTACATATGCGTGCGAAAGAGAGATGGTTTAAACAATAGGTTTGGTTATTTGCTGATTGGCTTACCTTTTCATTAAGAGAATAGGGCTTTTCCCCTTTTTTTCTGGCAATAAACTGAAACCTTTTTACGAGGAATCATGTTTGCATTAACCACAATACTTTTGG